GGTGCGCCACGCCCCGCGCAACTCAAAGCGAAACATTGCCGAGCGAAATTGAATGTCAATCCCAGGGCGGCTTGCACGTTACCGAACTCGCCGCGCTGCGCCGCGCTGCGGCCCTGCCCAGCCCTGCTCCGCCCCGCCCCGCCCCTCCCCGCCCCGCCAGACGCTGCTGGCGCGGTGCGGAGCACACATGCAAGCCGCCGTTATTGGCGCGGATAAGATACAGTCCGGCCGCAGCCGGCGCCGCGGTCAATAAGGAGTCGGTGCGCTTGTCCGGCCCCAGCGCGGCCCCCGGGGCACGTGGGCGCGCGCCGCGTGTGCGGGATGGGCCCCCGCCGCGGCCGCCCAGGAGACCCTCGAGACCCTCGTCGAGACCTTGTAGACTCTGGAGACCATAGAGACCCATAGGAGACCATGGAGGCTCTGGAGACCATAGAGACCCTGGAGACCCTGGAGACCATAGAGACCCTGGTGACCCTATTGGACCAGCTCCGGCCAAAGCTCAAGGTGACACGCAGGTTGTCTTGTGTTAGGGATAGCTCTCGGCTCCAATCACTTTACAAAACTACATTCTAATACACCCTAAAACCCTAACACATTTTATCGCATTAAGATGGCCTTACTCTATTTATTTTTAAAACGGGATTTTGACTTTATTTGAACAGGATGGCTCAATGTGTTTGGCTCTGCGGCTAAAGTAGTGAATGACCCCCCCCCCCCCCTCCCAGCCGCACGGGGCGGGGCGCCGAGGGCGGCGACCGAGAGGAGAGCGCTGCGCCCAGCAAATGACCCTGCGGCGATCTCGTATCGCGGAGCGGCGTCATCAGGACACGCGCGGCGTAAAGGGTTTAGGATAAAAAATCGTTTACCAGTGGAGAGTGCGGCCGCTGCATACCGCGCCCCGCCCGCCCCCGCACCGGCCGTGCGGCGCATGAATGCTAAGCAGGCTGCGCGGCGCGTCCGCGGCGTCCACCCGGCCGTGGGGTGGACTGGACTGGGCTGGACGGGGGCGGGGTCACTCCTCCGGGGCCGCCGGGCGGCCGGAGCCCCCGCACCTGGACCTGGAGGACGAGACGCGCCGGGGGCCGCCTGGGAGGCGGGCCGGCTTGGAACACGCCGGTAGCCCGGGTTGCCTATCCCCAGGTTGACAGGCGCGCGGTCGCGCGCGGTGTGGTAAAGGAAATTGTCATTCTGGTATAGTGCTGGCATGGTCTGCGTGTACCGCATTGCGGCTTTTAACCAACTCAGTAAAACGACGTCGTGCATGTGGTGGCGCTGTGAATTACCGCTTACTCTTGGTATATCTGGAGTGTTCAACGGTTTTTGTCTCTTATGGTTCACCTGGAAAGCAAACAATTGCTTCCATTTTAAGCAAGTTGGTTAAAGACATTAGCGGACCCATTCGCGGATATTCGTCAGGAATCGAATAATGCTGCAACGACTCGGGCCGCTATCCAATTTTTGTTTCTAAATTTCTCAGGCCGTGTAAAGTAGCAACAGAAAAACACGCCTTGAGCAATTCAAAAATCTAACAAAACAAATTTAATGGTAGTAAAGTTACGTGTTATGTTAAGTAACTGTCGAGGTAACTGTTCAGAATGGTATAGGCCTGATTTCGCGCTCCAAGCACGGCCTTCGGGGTGGTGCTGTGCTGTGCGGCGCTGTGCGGGTGGCGTGACGCGCCGCGGCGGGCGCCCTTGCGGCCTGCGGCCCTGCGGCTCACCCACCCTCTCTTTTCGCTTCTCTCGCCCCCCTCAGCAGTGGTTAATCTCTTCCATTGTCAACAACACACATACGGGCAAACGCGCTTAGTCCAGGGGGAGGAGGGTGTGGCCCGGGGGCTGCAGCTGGCCAAGACGAACAGCGTCCACTACGCCCATTTATCACGTAACAGAATGCGCCACTCTCTATGGTAGTGCGGGTTTTGAGCAAGGGCTGGTCACTCTTTATACTCACACACAATACAGCCACCTTTCGCAATGTTCCATTCTGAACTGTACTGAAACTTAATGAACAGGTGGAATGTTTTCGCGAACGTTTTAAATCTTAAGATGTTGGAACTTTTAGATCGATTTAATCCACAGAGTATACTGGTCTTATTTAAGAAAGGCAACTTTTTTCTGAGGAAATTACTATTAACATACTTTCTGTAATGATTGTACCGTCGTAAGTAATAGTGATGACCCCGACATTTTCCCTTTTGAACAGAGCGAGCGTTTCCGACCCCTGCCGAAGCGTCTTTGTACAGTAAAGGTCACACTCAGTTAAGTCTACTTCATCGTAATTACACAACTGCTTGCTCGCAGTCCGAAAATCGATACGATCGTGTCCACACTACGACTTTAATTGAATGACGAATAGATTGGATCAAGGGCGTCGTAGCCATGGTGGCGCGGCTCGGCGGGCAAGTAGTAAAGGGGCGGAGCTGCCCGGTGGCGCGGGGGCG